ACTGAAAATATTATACCTAGGTATCATAAAACAAACACACATAATATATCTGAATTTTTGCATCATCTAAAATGTGTTATGTACATTCAGAGATACACATAAAATTTATTTCTTTATCTCCCTCATCTGCTAGCAATTATTTCCAGACATAATAGTTTATCTCAGATCTTAATCAACAGTTTTCCAGTTATACCACTATATACATGTATTCCCCAGCATTATTAGAGACAATGATATAATTTTCCTTTATTTGTATAACCTTCTGAAAGCTATGCAACTGCATTTCAAGAAATATTAACTAATGTCATTCAAAAGATGATCTTTAAAATTCATCAGTATAGTGTGTTTGTGTGCATGTGCATGTGTGCATGTGTGTGTGTGGTAGGAAGGCTTAAAAACACCTCTGTATTTTAGGGTGCTTCTGATACTTACTATATGAATATTAAAGGCTTTTTTTCCCCCCGATGCTTAGATATTTTGCCAAAATGTGCCAAAATAAAGTCACTTAGAGAATATGAGCTAGTCTAGAGATTAATAAACCTCCAACCTCACAGGCTTCCACAAATAATAAGATGAAAACATAATTTTCAGCCACCAAATATTTCAATACTTCACTCTGTTTCTATGACATATTTATCCCATACGAAAGATTTGCTAAAGGAGTTGTAATGGCCTTCTGGGACAGGAAGAATAAGGTTTCTGGAGAAAATGTTAAATTAATTTTGATGGTGATGCAAAGTTAAGGAAGGGTTGTTAAGGGATGGCTGGCTGCCACAGGGTGGGGTTTTGTTTTGGTATCCTTTTAGAGTCTGCAGGTGTTTGGCACCAGTTAAAATCAGGGCCAGCTGTGATATTTCAATAGTTCTGATATTTTCCTCCCAATAGTTCTCAGAAGTGATGCTTCAGGGTGATGTCTTAGCCCTGACATATTCAACTTGTGTGGTACAAGTGTGAAGACTGTTAAATAACAGCAGTTTTGCCACACCCTTTACCCTCTCTTCCCCACCCTCAGGTCATGGCATTAAGGACAAAGAAAAACACTAATCAGAGGCTCCAATCATTCATATATTTTTAAATTGAGCAGTGCAGTCAAGGATGGTGATACACTAGAATCACCAAGTATACAGTCTTAAGCGAAATCATAATAGTACAGGGTGGTGCATTATCTTTTTATTTTCAGTGTAGACAATGATGCTTTTCAACCCTCTTACTAGTGAGATCCATACCTATTTTTGCAGAAATTTGAATAGTTTCTATTAAAAGCTGCCTTTTCTTTTAATTTTGTTTGGGTTGGAAGCCCTCAAACCACAATGTATTTCATACACATTTCTCAAGGGTACGTCAAATATGACCATACTGAGGTCATCTAGTAAGTTTTTGAAACTTTTAAAGAATTCCTTTAATGTACTGCACAATCTTGGCCTGATTAAAAGAAGATATTTCAAGAAAGCACTTGGAAAAGTGACTGGCTATTAAATTCTACATGCATATAATCTATATGATACCTCTATAATACCCAGAGCTTTCGACAGATAATTTGTCACTGAGGGAGAAAAACAATAAAACTACCATTTACGGTTTTGGATAGAAACTTCTCAAACTAACAGTGAATGTAGGCCAAAACCCTCCATAGTATTCTTGATTAACTGAACAGTGGATGCTTGTAGGATCATTTTAACTGTGCAAAGGTCTATAGCATATAATCAGAAGATAAAAGGTAGACAAGCATCCACCTATCCAAGAAAAAAAAAATATCATCTGTTGTTTTGGTTGAGTCAAAAAATCAAGTTTTTTCGGAACATAAGACTATGATGAAATTACTAGGTTAGAAATAGTTTCTACCATCAAGTAAATTTTTGTTGCCTACCAAGTTCAAACCACAGATGAAGTGTAAATGGTCTACTTGATAAGTGGGTGCACAAAATCCTCCCCTGTTCCTTGAGGCTTCCGATCCACATTTTTTTTGTTGTTAGACCTACCCCTTTTCATTTTATCTTCCTTCCTGCACCATGTTCCAGGCCTTGTACTTCAACCAAAGCAATTTTCAGTTGAACTAGCAGCTGTGCTGGCACAGCGCACTTGGAGAGCTGGGCCACAGGCACCAGCGGTGTGTTTCACATCTGAACACAAGTGGCCGGTTCCATGTACGGAGGGCCAAAAAACTCTGCAGCTCATCATGGAAAACAAGGGAGAGCACCTTAAATGGAAATATTTACAAACATACTTTTATGGAAAATGAGAAATAAGATTTTCAGTAATCAGAAACAATGAAGAGATGAAAACTTCTTGACACAGACTTTGCAGATACATTTTCACAAGAGGATATTAGAGTGTGATTTTAACTTAATGATCCCCATCTCTGCAGCTACATGGATTTGCCTTTATCCCACTAAACAAAGATAAGTAAAAGAAGGTGTTTTTAAAGAAGAATACAATCCTACGAAGCACTGTCATAACCAGAGCTACCAACATGCGTTGAGCATTTACCATCCAGTAATCCCTGTGCTATTCTCTCTATAAACATTATCTCATTTAATACTTTCAATAATATAAAGATAAATTTCCCATTTCACCATTTTACAGTAAAAAAACTAGAGCCTACAAAGATGATAAAAGTGATCACCAATTTTGACTCCATGGTTTTAACCATTCTGTTATGCTTAGTCCCCCAAGATCACCAAGGGCTTTCAAACCATTAAAAATAGAAATTTATTTTTCAGAAAAGCAGAGGATACTAAATTCTAGTACCTGGCACATACAAAGTATAATAAAGGTTTCTTGAATAAATGAACTTTCTAAGTAGTCATTTTTAGATGTCTTCTTAAGATGTTTTTCTTAAATAATATATTTTACATAATTTTTTGAAAAACTAATTTTTTCACATTCTACATTCCTTTCAAAATTCAAAATTTTATGGAATTCTTTCTAAAAGAAACAAACACTTCCAAGCACAGGGGGAAAATGGTGCCCTTGCCTCTTGTGTGGAACAGTTCTACTAAGAATTTTCCATGGACATATTTGCTTATTTTTAAAATGTAATAACAGTACATTACTCTTTTGTCTTTCTAAAAATTGAGATAAATTGTATACACTTACTTTGATATTTAAATTTCAAAGAAGAATGAAATTACATATGAAAGAGAACAACTCTACTCTTGCTACTAGGGCACAATTGTCAATAACTATCACTGTATGATTATTTTTGATGTTTGAACTATAACAATTAGAATCCACTTTGTGGTGGGTAAGTGGGCACTTTTGAGGTAGTATGAAAAACTGGTATCCTGGCTTAGATAATAGTAATCTTCTTCATTTGGGAAGTGGGCTAAGTACTAAAAATATGTCATATAGTAATAATAAAACTGTCTTTACAGGTCCAAAAGAGTTGAGATGTGAAGTTTAAAGTAACTAAACTGAACTACAAGGGAAAATTGTGTCCGAAAATCCTAATTATCCTATATTTACTCTGAACCAGCCCATAAAGTGAACAATTTTAAGGTAGTAAATGGGACCTTGAATCTTTATCAAAGCCTAAAAAGTAGGTAACATTAGCATATACCTAACAAAGTTTAAAAATCATTCTTTGCTTTGGTGCCTTTATCCCTGATAAAACACAGATGGAGCAACAGAAATGCTGATGGAAAAACTCTCAGGTAAAGTCTCCAAAGAAACGTGCCCTCAAATTGAGATAAACATGAAGTCCTCCACACCTCAGCACACAATAGCCGAAAACGATGGCTTGGCCTGATTCGTGAAGTGAGAAAAGCAGCCTTCTAGTTTACATTCAGGGTGTGCACACAGCTACCTCATCACAAGGAACCACCCCATTGATGTCGTGGGGTCTCTTGCAGATGAACTCACATGGTACGTGCCAAGTGGGCCCCTTATCTCAAATACTTATTGCTTGTAGTTTTATTATGAATAAAGGCTTGCCATACTTATAATCATGGCAGAAAAAATAGCACAAAGCAGAACTCCTGAATTCATTCACTTTTTTTCTCTACTAAATATTGTAACTATTGAATTAAATACATTTCAATTTTCTTTTAAACGGATATACACGTTAAGATAAAGGTACCAAAGTTAAAGAGATAGATAAGTTTTCCAACAAAATTCTCCTCCCTCAAAAAGGTATATTCCATTTTCAATAATTTATTTCAACAAAAAACCAGCCACTATATAAATATAAATAACTCACGGGGGGAAGAAAACTCTATGTTTTGAAATTATATTTTAGAAACTGACAAGATATGAAAAATAATGATAGAGAAAGCTTTACAGAAAATGGAGTCCCTCTACCTTTGGGGATTAATACATGAATCTGAGAAATGGTAAATTGCTTATAGTTGTACTGACAGAAGTAATAAAACCAAAACTTATTATTTTAACATCATCTAAAAGTAATCACATAAATAATGTTATGGAAGAAATATTTTTTCAGGTGACCCTTCTTCCTGGGCCCCAAGATGAAGTCTGTTAAGCAATGTACAGCACAACTATCTAAGTATAATTTATGCCTTATATATAAAACACAATAATCAAAACCCATAAAAGCCTCTAATTTTCAGAATTAAATATGACTTGCTTTGTACATTGTAAGATGGCCATTTGATCAGAGACGGGCTATAACTGTGAAAGTTCTCATATTTCTTTCTACAAAGAATGATCTCTGAACATCTGACCCAACTTATCCATTGTCTATATTTCTGTTTTTCAGGAAAAATAAATGCCCTGACCTCAGAAACTTCATGTACTGGCTAATGAAGAAATATGTTATATGTGACAGACACGAAAGTAGGATAGTAGACATCCAGTACTAAATTCTAATTCTTTTTATTTCAGACCCATAAACAATTTTAACATAACAGTGAAGAATTATGTTATGTGACTTAAGCTCATGATCTAATTCACCTTTATATAAACAATGTGGACAAATTCCTCAACACAAATTCTTATATTGTTAAACACAATGTATGGAAAACTTCAAAAAACAAACCTGGGGTTCTGCAAATACACTCTTCATGTTGTTGATTGGGCCATACGGGACCCCACTGCCTTCAAAGAGGTGTAACCATTTGCTGGTCGTTTCTTCTTCAAACCTTGGAACAGACAAAACAGGATGTGTTTCATTTGTTATGCTCCAAAGAATGTAACACAATCTCTTTTCTCATGTGGACGTCTTTCAAAGCAACCAATAGTGACAAAACTATGTTTCTTAGGCTTTCTTTTCTTCTAGTTTTGAGATAAAGTTGTCAATATGAAACAACTTCAGTGGCCCTGTAGGGGTAAGAGTAACCACTCAGGTCCCAGTGTTTAAAAATCCCCCATCAGAGATGTAATTCTTCCTATATGTCTATCCCTATGTACTCTGACACAGAGTCCCTTGGAAAAGAGAGGTTATATGGAAAGTGGTATTGAGTTCCAAATGTGGTGTCGAGCAATTTATTAATATAATAATAATATCATTGCAAGTGGAACACGAAGTCATGGTGCAAAGTGTTTTTTAGATCTCAATTATAGTACATCAGGTTGGAGCAGACACTAATATACAAAATTGTTCCTCAAAACAAAAAATAAACTAATGTAGCTATTTTAAAAGAAAGCTACATGTAAGTACGTAATAATTAACAGTCACAAACACTGCCCTAAAAACAACCTTAGCTATTTATTATTTGCACTGTGATTTACTAATTAGAACAACTGAGTAAGTGATATTTCAGTTTAGCCAACAAAAATCAAATTCATTCAAGTCCTGTACCTCTTTTTGTTTCTATTATAATTTAAAATTGAACTTCACAGACAGAAAAGTTTATTGGATTTCCTTTATTTTCTCTCTTAAGTCTTAAGGAAAGGGGAACTAATTCATTAATGAGATTTACTGTTTTATATTTCTTCTCTGTTAAGACAGTGAACACAGAAGCAAAATCTTGGATCCTTAGAGACAACTCAACACAATCATAGTTTCTAATGTATGAAGAATTTCAGAATTGCTAATTGTTAAAATAGCAAAATATTTTTAGTTAATTAATAATCTAGGTGACCAAAGAGATTTTTATAGTAGATTATTGCCAGCAGGTAAAATGCTTAGTAGATTATTGCCAGCACATAAAACGCTTCATTCACTACTATGGAAGGACTAGTTGCAACTATAGTAGAAATACTTAGTCTTCATGGACTTCTATTCAGTTCTCTTATACACAACTAGAATTAGCCTCAGACCTGCAGACTCCATAGGAAATTATACTTGTAGTAGAGAAATGTACTTCTGTCACCTTTTTCCAGAAAAAAAAAAGTGTAAAAACAGTATCAATACTTGGAGGACACTTCTCTGATTGCCATCCAATAAATAAAATAAAAAGAGAAAACAGAGAAATAAAAAAAATGGAATTAATATATTCATTAAAAGATAGACTATTATATAAACACCTATGTCCAATCATATAAGTTTTTACATGAGGATATAATAAAATTTTTTAATGATTTCACTAGGAATTTAATTAATCCTATTCACACATCCATTTAGTGAGTGTCTAATATACACCAAGCATTGATTCTTGTCTTTCAATAAATGCTTTCCATTTTCTCTCCAAAATGATAAAGATTTTTCATATTTTAATTTTAGCCCAGGAATGTTAAATATCCCTATTTAGTACACAATAAATACTTCACTTCTAAACATTAAAAAAAAAAAAAGAAAAAAATTCTTTCATGGGAACACCACAATGCAAGGTTAAATGTCTTGCATTTAAATGGTTAAAATCGATTCTTCACATTTATATTTTCTTTTCAATGACTGTTAAAGTCATCTCCTGGCCAAGACTTCCTAAAATATACATAGATATATATCATCAGAATGATATATGCTGAAAGAATAAAAGAGATACTTTGAACCTGGAGCCTTTTCAATGAGGGTGTCAATTATTTAAGTTTCCGTAAATGGAGTGTTATAATAATTAGTATGATAAATTTTCAAGAAAAGTGAATTTATCACCACTAGACTCACCCAAGTGACCTGAAAGATCTGCACAAAAAATGCATGTCAATATCCAAACAAACGCATGGTGGTTGGCTAGCCAACAGAAAGCTCAGGGGAATAGTTGAAGTTTTAGTATTTGTATAAGCTTTTCACCACTGGGCAAAAGAGAGGAATTTATTTCATGTTATGGAAAACAATAGACGCACTTTGGAAACAAGACTGGGAAGAGGCAGCATCTGGAGCTGCAGTTGTGACCACTGTTTGTGTCTTTGCATGGGTGTGGATGTGGAAGGGTTCCTAAATGCCATAAACTCTATCAGTCAGAGACAGAACATCGCTGCATTCCGCTGCTCCCAGAGGACATATCCATCATTGTCTTCTGAAAATCTATCTCTTGATCTGAATCGGATGTAGAATCCTTTCCTTTATCTATGCAAAAAAGCTGTAAGCACATGTTTTTATAAACCACAAAAATTCTGCTAAAAATAAAATGGAAAGAGCTGATCTAAATCACTCAGGGCAATAGAATCCTGAAGATAAGATTAAAGGGGTGTCCTCAGATCCAGTTTAGCAAGCCTTGAAGCCAGGGCCTCTGCTGGGAAGTCACTTTGAGGCTCATAAACAATTCAGACTTAATTGTGAACTTACTAAATCAACCTACATATTTAATTCTAAATTTTTGTTGCATTCACTTGATAACAGGAAGGAGTATTATTAATCAGATAGCATCATTTATGTAGATAAAGCACTGCTGGACTAAGTCAGACTTGGGTTTAAATTTCTTCACCAAAATTTAACTTACAAAACAAAAAAGTCCTTTAGAGAATGGATTAAAGCTTCAAAGGAGCCAAATCTGAGACTAGAGAGAAACTAATAAGAGATCCCTACCTTGAAGGTGGGAGTCGAAAATAATTGGAACATTGGGACAACTACGCACTGGTCATTAAATAGTTTTATTTATATTCTGTCAATTGTATGCTCACAACCACACTATAAGGTAAGTATTATCCTTAACTGACCAATAGGAAACTCGGTTCACAGAAATTAACTTCATCAAATTCATATAGCTTTTAAGGTCAGACGTTGCATTTGAAGCTGAGTCTGCTTAACTCCAAAGCCACTTTCTAATACACAATGACTGCAGCAGAATACATTCAGAATGCAGAGCATCCCATATTGTATGCACTATATGTGGTCACAGATAGCTATAAAAAGGAGGAGCAGAGGTGACCCTGTTCATCTTTTGCACTAATATGCTTCTTCACTTTCATCTTGGATACCTCAACACATATTTTCTTACATTAATACTTATTCATTCCTGATGCTTTTAGCAACAGTTTTTTTGTGTGTCAGCCATGGAGATTACAATAAAAAATACAGCCCCTGTGTTCAGGGATCATATAGTCTAATGGGGAACACAGCTATAGAAATAGATGAATTTCAATGCAGGATGCTGAGACAAAGACATGAATGAGCAACTTAACAGCTGAAGCACCAAAGAGGGAGACTTGCATTGAGCCAGGGAGGCAGGAAAGGGTTCAAAAATGAAGTGACATTTGAGCCAAGGGTTGAACGATGAGTTAGAATTTTCCATGTGAAAGAAGAGAAGAAGGATCTTCCAGGCAGGAAGAGCAATGTGTACAAAGATCTGACCTGGAAATAATCTGAAATCTCCTGTGCCCCAAGTGGTCGAAGATGAAATGGGACAGGAAGGTGAGAACCAGAGTGCAAAGCATCTTGTCTGCTATGCTAAGGATATTGGATTTCTACTGGCAACAAGGAACCGTAAAAGGTCTGTGACAGATCTTAAACATAACCATCACCATTTTAGGCAAGGCCAAGCACAAAATGGCAACCAGCCCCTTCCCCTGCCCTTCACGAGAAGCCAAGTGACTTCTGCCAATTATAAACCCTTTTGCTTCTGCATGGGTGCAATACCCCTCCTTGACTGCTTCGGCCAGCCCTTGGTGCCCTACAGCCCATATAAGCTCTCCCACCCCAACGACAGTTGATGCCCTCCATTTGTGTGCAGCCTGGCAGATTCTTTTCCTTCATTAAAGCTGGATCGGTTTATGGTGTTTCTGCTCACTTTCGTTCAGTCTGTACACAGGGGACTAACATGTTCAGCACTGATAGAGAGAAGGAAATGATGCAGATGAGACCAGAGATTAAGAAACTTGACAGGAGGCAATATACTTTCTCCCTCTGATACATCTCAAATCTGCCTATCGATATTCTCCATATTATGGTCAATAATAAACAAGAACCCATTTGAAGAAAAAAATTGTTCCTGACATTCCTACCTCTTTCAGTTACTATCCTATTTATCTCTTTCCAACCCATTACTACTCCTGAGCCTCTGAAATCTGCCTTGGTCACCAATGCCTTATTTTACCCAGTCTCCAGTGGTCTGCAGCAACCACCTGTCTGATGCTCTTTCACAGAACTCACGCTACCACCCTGTGCAGTGTTTGACGTTGTGGCCTATCTCACCTTAAGGTCTTGTGAAACTATACTTTCTTGGTTTTCTTAACACCTATTTGGCCATTTGTTTCTTTTTTTTTAATTTCAAAATAAAAAGTTTGATTAAATATTTAAAAGATAAATATATATAAAACATTTGCAAATGGAACTTAGTGATATGTAAAAAAGATAGTACATCAATATCCAATGAAAATAATAATAGGAACTGAAGGCTGAGTCAATATTTTAAACATGAATGTGGTTACCATATTAAGAGAATTGAGAAAAACAATATGAGGATCTCAATAGAGGCAGGAAAAAAAGAAGACAAAATTCAACATCCAGTCATAGTGTACACTCTAAGTGCATCAGGAAGAGAAGGGAAATTCTATAACCAGATAAAGGGGATCTACAAAAAGCCTATAGCTAACTGCCCACTTAATGGTAAAAGATTACTTCCCCTTGAGATGAGGAACTTGACAAGGATGCTCTCTTTCTCTCTCCACACTCAAGCGGGATCTGTGGGTTGTGGCCCAGGAGGGACATGGTGACCAACAAGAGGTACTTCTGCAGTGATGTGGGCTTAGAATGTGCATGGAAGACACTGTTGGGGCATCTCCAGCATCCCAGGCAGGAGGTCGTGCCCACACATGACTTCAG